TAAGTAAGTCGTAGCGGTCCGGGGGGGGGGGGGAATAACACTGATCAAGCATCGTATTACAATCTCTCCCCATCTACACTCTGTCTGCTATGAGCCCCCCAAAGGCACTATTACTCTAATGGAAAAAACATTTTGCAAACTTCTTCTGGGGGTCGACAGATGGGTCAAACAAATACCACTGGAGTTCATGGCATTATATGTGTCTTCCCAAAGATGAAGGTGGAATTGGAATTAGGAAGATGCAAGATGTTACTGGTACCTTTAGTATTAAGAGATGGTGGAGGTTTAGAACGCAGAACTCTATATGGGCCACCTTTCTCAAAGCCAAATACTGCATAAGATCTCACCCGGTAAGTAAAATCATGGCTTCGACAGATTCACAAAGTTGGAAAAACCTGTTAAAGACCAGGAACAAGGTAGAAATTCACATCAAATGGAGCATTCAAAATGGTTCATCAAGCTTCTGGTGGGATAATTGGACTGGTGAAGGTCCACTTTCTTATCAGGCCCAAGGTATCAGGAAATCGGCCGAAACCCAGGTTAAGGAATTTTTAACAAATGGGCAATGGGACATCAACAGGTTAAATCGGGTTCTTCCTTCTCACATCACTGATTTTATTTGTAAAATTGATATAGGTAATGATACGGAAGATGATTTCCCTATTTGGACCTTGTCGGATGATGGAAACTTCTCAAATAAATCGGCGTGGCATTTAATTAGATTTAAAAAATAGAAAAACAATTTTTTAAAGAATGTTTGGCATCATGCAATCCCTTTTAAAATGTCCTTTCTAACTTGGAGAATTATGAAAAAAAAATTGCCTTTTGATGACATGATTAGTAAGTTTTGTACTAACATAGCTTCGAGATGTTCTTTTTGTAGTGACCCACAGGTGGAATCCATGTAACATGTTTTCGTGGAAAGTGAGGCTGCGAAGCACATTTGGAAGAATATTGGCAGCCCCTTGGGTATTATTCACTCCGAATGCTCCTATTGCGGCGATTTTTAAGAATTGGTGGGATGCAAAGACAAAAAATAAAATTCATGGCCTGATCCTACAAGCTGCCCCAACTCTTATTTGCTGGGAAATTTGGAAACAAAGAAGTTCATGTAGATATGCCACACAAAGGAAATTTCAACTCAAGGACATGAAACACCAGGTTATATGGAACATCAACTCCATAGTAACCAAGCTTACGCCAAATGGATACACCCAACACCACTGGCCTTCTCTTTGCAGCAGAATTGAAAGGTTGAAACCTGTCCAAACATGGAGGCAAGTTCAGTGGCATCCTCCGCTCCATGGCAAGGTCAAAGTTAATACAGATGGAAGCTCCATGTCGGTCGATTGTGACAGTCATAACATGGCTGAAGCTCTAGCTGCTGAGTTCGGAGAAAAATGGTGTGACCAGTTAGGTTTCACTAATTTTGTTCTCGAACTTGACTCAAATGTCATAGTGAACATGGTCAACCAAGAAGGAAACAAGAGCATGAAACTAAAGTGGTGGTGGATAGAATTACAAGATTGGTCCAACATGCAAATGCAACGGTCCAACACTGTTATAGAGAAGGTAACCATGTAGCTGATGCTTTAGCTAAAATCGCCTCTATTTCTGGCACGAATTTGATATGCCAATCCTTCGAACAACTACCAAAAGAAGCTAAAGGCCCCTTCATTATGGATAAGTGGCAAATGCCTAGTATTAGAAAAAAATATGAGAAGAACAACTTTTTTGTTAGTTGAATTTGATGTATATATAGTTATGACAGTAGAGTGTAGATGCCTCTACTGTCCTTTTGGGTGATAGAAATCACCATGTTGTATTTGTTTCCGAGGTAAGGCCTAGCCCCCCTCACTGATCTTTTTTGCAATACAACGCCCAGACCTCTGTCTGGGGAGCTTTATATAAAGAAAAAGTTCACATCTCCTAAATTAAATTTTATGTCACGACCCAAACCACGGGCCGCGACGGGTGCCTGAAATCCTACATAACAAACATCCTTAAGCATGCGTTTAAGATATAAACATGAATAGCATACGTGAGGGAAACCTATCCAAAAGACATATGTACATATATATGCAATATAGTGGGCGAGCCGGCAAGACTGCTATAGACAACCATATACCCAAAACTGGAAGCCGAAAATGCCACATACTATCCAACTATACATGACAATCTACAGACCTCTAATAGAAAATACAACTATACAAGGACGGGACTGGGCCACGTCATACCCATATATGCATACAAGCATATCGTACCAAAATCAAAAGTAGCTCCGGATCAAGTGGAGCACGCCAACTCTCGCTGATCAAGGATCCTAAGTAGGGGGAGCGTCAGCTTGCCTACCTGCACCTGCGGACATGAAATGCAGGACCCGGGAAATAGGGTGTCAGTACGAATAATGTACTGAGTAGGTAAGGCACAAAAATCAGTACATAAGAGACATAGATGAAACATGGAATAAGGAATTTCGCCTGTAAGTCTAAACAAATTTGCGAATCCTGAAACAGTTATAATATCATGCACGTGCGTGTAAATGTCGTGTCATGCATATGTATAGGTGTACATAACATCATCAAGCCTCTGAGGGCATCCCATCATATCATCTCGGCCACTATGGGGCAAAATCATCAACATATACCAACTGATCAGGTGGTGGTGCGTATATAACGCCGCAACCTTTTCCCATATATATATATATATATATATATATATATATATATATATATATATATATATATATATATATATATATATGCCATCTGGTCATGGGTCAATGTAAATGTATAAATAAATGAAATGGATGAAAATATGTTAATAATCTCAATATTCCTTTAGGATAACTTTATCAACTGCATATTTTTCTGAGACCCATGAACAGAAGATATAATAATATGTCACATGGGGAACCAAGAACATAGAGGCCCCTAGTATTTTTATGAATAGAGTCGTTTATGAAAGCTGTGCGTTTGCTTGTTTCTTTTTGTATCATTTAGATCATGCCAAAAAGAAAGAAGGGATAGTCTTAACATACCTGGAGTAGGGAAAAATCCATATGATATTCTTGTGAAGGATTACACCGTACTCCCTTAAAATTGTAATCTTTGTTTGATTTATTGAAGATCCGCACCATTCTACGTTAATTGCCGGTTGTCTTCTCCGTTAGCTTCAGATTGCCTACATTTAGAGTTCTTTGTAATCCTCTTAATCGTTCAAAGATGTGTTTCTTTGAACTGTTCATATTCAAAGATATGTAACCTTCTAGGATTTAATAATTCCTTATTAGTTGCCACCTAATCTAATATGACTAAGAGTCATTTGTTTAGTTAGTGGCTTGCTGCCACGTGGGGGTGGGGTGGGGTTTTAATCTTATCCCAAACTCACTAGTTAATTAGGTAATATTCCGTCCCGGTAATTAACCAATTACCCACATAATTAAGAATTGTCTCAAATTACTTAAAATACTACTCATTTCTAATATACTTTATATATACATCATACTATCTTCACTCTGAAGGAAAATGATGAACTGTCCAAGTTTTATGCAACATTCTTACATTCATAGACTAGAGTGTGATTTACTTTATTATATAGTGAAATTTACTTCCAGATAGGTTCGTAAACAGAAGACAAATGATAATCCTTTAGAGTTACAGTTTCTTCGTAAATAGTCAAAATGATGTCTTGGGGATGTTTTGTTTTTCCTGTATGTTTTATGTAAAAGCACCATAAGTTTGGCATTAATTTCTCATAGCTTCTTGGAGAATATTGTAAATTTTTTCATATGATTTTTTAGGTAAAAGTTGATGGAAGCATTATGATTGCAGATGGGAAACCGCAACCTTGTTTTCACTGCTTCTTGGAGGGATTTGCTTCTCTGGAAGGTTGACAATGCTTTCTCATTTTTGTTGGTCATGTTCCTCTTTTCTTATTGTCATTATAGTAACTCCTTGTCAAAACCTATGTTGCGCGGACTCTCCAAAATGCTGCCGCACCCGTGTCGGATCCTCCAAAAATACACTACTTTTGGAGGATCCGACACGTATCCGGCGACATTTTCGGTGAGTCGGAGAAACATAGGTCAAAACCAATGACTACAAGTATGCTTTGCTTTTAAAAAGATTTGATCCCTGAAGGTTTAGTGCATTTTGTAACAAGGTCCATGAGAAATTGTCTACGAAAGTGCAGTGCACCAGCTGATGGATGCTCTGACATGTGTCGGTATTCATATGAAAGAACCTTTTGTGATAAATGGTTTAACTTTAACTTGTACTCTTTGGCTTGTGTCCTTCCTGTGATTTATGGTTCCTTAATTCTTTGTTACATCTAAAGAACTGTAAATGAATATTAACACCTGAAGAAAAATTTATTATTACCGGTAATGTTGTTCTTCCTTGTTCAAATATGGAATGCTGTCTGCTTTACCAAATACTCACATTGTGTATTGAAATTCATTTCATGGATACGTTCTTTTCAACATATGGTAAAGGAAAACATTGCTAAATACTGACAAAGCAATATCTTATGCCCCGGGCAGTGTGTACTGCACAGTGAATCTTATTGTTCTTCTATTCTATATGGAGGAATAATCCTTTTTCTTTTTGCAAAATGATACATAATTTTCATCTTTAGAAGATTGTGAAAGTAACACAATTTCTAATTTTGTTTAGCCAGAGAACTATCGGGGCGGTTAACGGCGTACTTGTCCTTGGTATCGTTGCCTCTTTCACAGCTCTTGTGGTAATTTCCATTCTTAATCAAGTAGAAAAAGTTGTTATTACTATCTTTAAGATAATAACAGTTTTTTTTTTGCATTTTACTTGTATGGGTGCAATTTTGATATTCCTCTTAGTAAAGAATGTGTTTCCATACTTCACTGAATTGGTGCTATCGTATCTAACTCATGCCAATATATGCCTCAGTTGGTGTCTGGTGACACCAACATAGATTAGCTGCCATCTGAATTAGTTAGAAGGCCTAGATTCTTTTTGTATTTAGATGTTGCATGAGATGGTGAATGCTTCTCGCCAACAGCTTTGCTCAATGGCAGGTCCGAAAGCTATAATTGTAGATATGAAAGAAGATACTTAATATAGTACTATATACTATGTTATTAGATTAGTAGATGATTATCCGTTTGATTGAGATTCTCAATGCTTAGACATGCTCAGCTTTATTTGTTGTTTATATATGTTGTAGACATGATACAGGATTTTATCTTCCATACATCAAGTGCAGACTTTTTTAATAAGTTTCTTGGAAACCACATTATTAGAATTTTTATTAGAGGTGTTGTATGAAATGGTAAATTGATTCTTGCCAACAGGTTGAAGCTATAACTTCACATGTAAAAGAAGTAAATAACTTCATATGGCCCCATTAAAATGAACATTACATTAATAGATGGTTATTTACTAAGATGGGCTTCTTAATAGATATGGTCTACTTTATTTATTGTATACGTGCCGAAACCTAAAAAAAGATGTTTTAAATTTTAACAACTTTAAAAAGCCAATGACAACTTTTGCCATATTAATCCATATCTTGGAAACACCTATATCAAGCTTTCATGTAAAGCATTGGAAATGGCTTAGAGAGAAATATTGATATCCCCTCTTTTATGCCTAAGGCTGTTGCCAGTGGAGACTTGCACTGGGAGGCTCTTCTGAAAGCTAATTTTGAGGCTGCTCCTCAAAGTATACCCATAATTGCACTTTCTTTTGTTTATCAGGTAAAAACATTTTCCAATCAATTCATATAGCCACCCTGGGATTGTGCATCTAAGATAATCAGTTGCTTTTTGTTCTCAGAATGTTGTACCTGTTCTCTGTACAAATCTTGAAGGTGACCTGTCAAAAGTCAGGTGATTATCACTATTTTGCTGCATATATTAGCCATAACTTATGAACGTATAAAATTTGGTCAGCTTCCTTTGTAGAGGCTGTTTCACCCGGTTCATCTTTGCTTTATATAACTTCCTATCAATATTTCAGGTAGTATTATATAGTTGGCTATTGCTATGTTCTAAATAAATTAAATTGTTATGGATGCAGGAGTGCTATAGTTTTCGGGACAGCAATTCCGCTTGCTCTGTTTCTTGTTTGGGATGGTGTCATTTTGGGAACAATCACAACTCTTGGAACTGAAGCAGACAAAATTATAGATCCACTACAACTACTGCGGGCTACTAATGGAATTGTTGGGGTTGGTACTTATTTCAATGATCTATTATATTTCTTTATTGAAATTAAGTAAAATAAGCAGGCACTGCAAGTTTTTCTCCTCTTATCTAAACATTGTGTTTGCAGCCAATAGTTGATGTCTTTTCGCTTCTGGCAATTGCTACTTCTTATATCGGATTTGTCTTGGGCCTTGTGGACTTTCTTGCTGACTGTGAGTGACTTGGCTCAGTAATCATCTAATTTATGTTCATGTACTATTTTCAGGGCTTTTCTGTTAGCTAAACTTGGTTTGCAGTTAGTATAGTTGCGAATGATTGTCTTGCATAAAATCTTCTTCTTTTTTTTTTTTTTTTTTTTGCTTCACTATTTATTGGAAAGCACTAGTATTTTTTGTATCACAATTACCTGATAATGTTCATTTGTAATTAGTTTAAAACATTCCTCTCCTGGTTCTTCACCATTGCTTCTTTTAATCAAAGGTGATTAACGTATTTAACCAATTAAAACAATATAAAGTTGTACCTTCATTCTCAAGCGGGAAGTTTGTGGAACTAAGGTGGAAGGATGCTGTGGTAATTTGAATCTTAGAATATCTCTTTTATAAGAAAGTGGTTACAACAATGTACTCGAGAAGCCAATGCTTATTAGCACAAAGTGTGAAGTGTCTCTTTCAGTAATTACCAGACAACAACTTTTTTAGCTTCGAGCATCTAGAAACAAAAAAAGGGGAGTGATTGAGATGTTGGTTGTCCACTTTAGCTTTGCTAGAGACAATTTGGTAATGAATGTCACTATCACGAAGCCAAAAGGGTGTAAAAGAGGAGGGTTTTATTACCAGAGGAATCATTAACACATCTTATATGCTCCTGAGTTCTTTGGGCGCTTATTTTACCGAGTTTGTTTCCCTTTTAGCTTCTCTTTGTGGAGTCCATGAACAAAATTATGCCTTCAAATTTATTCACTCTTTGTTATTACCTTGTAGATTTCACCATGTTACATAATCTTAATAAGCTGGTTTGATCACAGCAATAAGTTTCCTTTTAGCACACTTTATGAGGTCTAACTTATGTTTTACTTTTGTCATTGAACTGCTGACAGTGCTGAAACTACCATCAGGTCCGAACAGGCCTCTGCCTTACCTACTCACTTTGGTGCCTCCCCTGATACTTTCACAGCTAGATCCAGAGATATTCTTCAAAGCATTGGATTTTGCTGGAACCTATGGAGGTACGGAGACTTACTTACAGTATAACTTTCTTTTACTATAACGAGTAGTTGGAGAATAATATGTACAACAGAGAGGAAAGATGGAATACACAGTCTCATGAATTACAACAAAGCAAAGAAAAATGTATTTAGTATTGAATAATACATTCAGTGGAATTTTTTGCTCTCTTGAAACAAAATACAAATGCTATCACATGCTGTTTGCATTGGAGTACCGAAAGGATACAGGGGACAAAGTTCAGTAGTTTGGTTGCATATTGTGCACCCCTTGAGGATGGAGGCCTAGAGGTGGCGGTAGGAAAAGGATATAAAAAGTAAACAATAGGTCAATCGTCAATAGCTCCTTGACATGTAGAACTGGCAAGGCTATGTACAGTAGACCCAATGTAGATATGTTTACAGTAGGCCCAATGTGGTCTAGTTCTTTCTCAGACCCCACGCATAGTAGAATATTAGTGCATCGGGCTGCCCTTTGTTTTATGACTTTTTCGCTATTGCTAGCACCCGAAATTTTCAAAATTTCAATTTGGGACATAACGTAATGTGGCATCAGCCATCAGCTGCAGATCATTGTCCATGTATCTATATGTTTACGCAATATCATTCTGAGCAATTTATATAATTTGTGTGCTTGTTGCTTTGTAGTTTTGGTGCTTTTTGGACTTGTTCCAGCTGCAATGTCCTGGTCAGACAGATATTGGGTATCAACTCAAACTCCAAATCTACCCCCGCTGGTTCCTGGAGGAAAGATCACACTCTCACTTATTTTTGGAGGTGCAGCATTTTTCATTCTTTCAGAAATAGGAGACAACTTTGCACATGCATAGTTTTTGACAGGTGCTTATTTATGCTGTATCTGTCTCCAGTTCCCACATTATGTCAGGTGAAATTGTTGTGAATATGAGCACATAGATAGAACAACCGTTCTTTCATAGGTTGGATAATGGGGTAATATCCAGAGTTTATTACGGTGAAACTCTAAAAGAAAGTCATTATCAATTTATTTGTTAAAGACATCATCAAATGTGTTAATTTTTCGCTGAATATCTTAGATAATTTACAGTTTACTTTTTCTTTTTATTGTTGCACATCCATCCATATGTCCTACGAATAAAAGGTTTAATTTTAAACTAGCTACCTTCCGCTCCTGCAAGGGCTTCCTGCTCACCCCCAAACCTCTCGAAAGAAATTTAAACCGGGACAAAGGGAGTAACTAATAAATAATTTTAGGTGATTTTATACATGATAAATGAGCGTTCATCTACATAACACATTTCCTCCAAAATGCAGTTTGATAATCCTGAATAAGCGACAAACCGAAACACTTTCTAGTAGAACCTTAGTCTTGTTTCTCTCCATCAAAACTTAATTATAAAGAAATTAGAAGGCCATTTACACCCCTATACAGATGTCTTTTTGACCAATTTCTTCCTCATATTCCAAAATAATATGCAGACCCACTTGTGGGAATACACTGGATATGTTGTATATTCCAGAATAATACAACAGAAAATTACTGCAGTACGAAACAGAAAAAAAATAACTAGAGAGTATTTTTATATTTTTTTGTGGGGTGCGAGAGGAGGAAGGTTGATTAAGTTGATAATTCTGGAGTGTAATCTACAGATATAAGCAAAAGGAGGCTGATTCTCAAGCAAGTCAGATGTCGAGGTGTTCAAGACTTATCTCGCATGCTCTCTCCAAACTTGGCATCTGATACAAAGAAGACAATGTACATATAAAGCAGCAGCTAACCATAATGTGATATTGTACAAGATGTGTACAAAATGTACAGAATACTAAACAACAATGACCAAACCCATTTCACTTAATGTTATACATCCCAAAATTGAGCTCCCATAGCAGTTGTCAACCCTGAGCAATCTTAAGGGAAATTAAGCTTTCTGGACAATCCAAATATAACCTGGAAGCACAATATAAGAGACTGTTAATGAAGCAAATGCTAGGCAACCTAAGTAGCTTAGCATTTCATATGAATGCTGAGATGAAAATCCTACACATGTTGCAGTAAGACGTGAACCTGGCAAAATCTAGCAGCACTACAGGACCTGAATACCAACACTCTCTTTCTCTTATTAAGATACTTAGGTGAGATTGATGTCTTACAGTATTTTCAGAAACATCATATAAACACCATGAATTCACGACCCTCAGTCCTCATCTTACGTAAGAGTAAACCAAGCACACAAAAGGTAGGGATTCACTAGCTAATCCACAGCCATTGCTTCAGGACCGACAGTAGCATCCTCCACTCCACTCTTGTTATGATCATCAACTACATTCCTCATCTCTTCGATCAAACTCCTCTGCTCTTCCTCTATTGTGTTCTGCAACTCATCAACCTGGAAAAAAAAAGGACATTCAGCAAAAAATATGTGCAACTTTCACCAATTAAGTTTTTGTCTAATGCAGATGAAGTACTACTAAAAAAGTTCTATCTACCTAAACAGAGTATTGCCAAATATGAAAAATCTCACATTCAACTTTTAACAGTGTCGTCAAAGATGAAAAAGTATTGAAAACCTAAGATCTGCTAAAGCTATAAGTGCAACTAAAATGCACAAATGGGCTACACGAATGATATTCTATAACAATTTGACCTATTACTTAGTGATATGAATCAGTTATCTCTGATGTATATAGTATACTTAGCAACTTTAAATCACCAACAGCAATCAATGCATTCCGAGCTAAAACTTCCTGAAAAAACCAAGAGCATTAACGGAAGGTAAGTTCGTAGGAAGATACGTACCACATGCAATAAAAGAGCAAACTGCTTTTTACGAAGGTCCAATGTCCTTGAATTAGCAGTATTCTCTGCTTCCAACGCAGCTATCTCTTTCTCAAGCTCTGTTAAAACCTTCTGAGTTTCTGATCTTGGAGGTTGCAAAGCAATCAACTTCCTGATCACCTCACCCTCTTCTTTATGCTTCCTTTCAACCTTGCTTTCTTCAAGTTGCCTCTTGAGATCTTCTATATCAGCCTGAGCCTGTAAAATCTGCACGTTGATTTCACCTTTCAGGTCGTTGAAATTCTCCTTTTCTCTAACATTCGCATCTATTACTGTTTTGCTCTTTAGGAGCGGAATCTCAAACGTATATAGCTCTTGCAAGAATGCTTTAGCAAGTCTTTCACAATCTCCGTAGTTATCAGCTTCCTTCTCTATCTCCGAGGCAAAAGTAGTAAACTTCTTTTGGAGTTTCTTCAGTGGCGGTTCACCTCTAGTGGTGGTTGTCCGAGTCAGAAGTCTATGCTTAATTATTATCTCGTCTTCAAGTTGTCCAAATGCATAATGTGATGCCACTGTCTCCCCCTTCCCAGCAATTTTTCTACCTTTTATCAACATTTGTTTTGATTTTTCTATCCTGTAATAAACATCTCTTAGAAATTAGCATTTGATAGAATATAAAGGATCATCGACAGATTTAGCTTCCTTAGTCACCTCTGAAAGAGGTTAAATGACCAGAGAGTTGTATTCTATTTCCTGGAAAATACAAGTAATAATATTCTGAGATGTTTGTCATTATTCTACAAGTAATAATATTTTATACAACCCTAACTTCTTTAAAAAATCCACATTGATTTAAGGAATTCAACTTTAAGCATTATGTGATCTCTCGCGATCACACTAACTTAACTATATGTTTTTATATCCAAGTTAAAGCTACATTATGGCCGTGTCTTTTAAATCGCGTCCCATAAAACGACAAAAAAGGAGTAAGAGTTAATTTCCTCTTTTTAATCAGTGTCCTTCATCTCGAGTAGAAGAACGAGGGAGGAGGTGCAGATGACACAACCTTAAAAGTCCCATTTGATGAAGCTAACTCTCTAAAAGATATCATTATATTTAAACAAAATAAGTGAATAAGGGGAGAAAAAACAAGATCTGTGCACATATATTTTCACTTATTTTACTGAACAATTATATAACTAAAAATCAAGATATGAGCACTTTTCAATATTATACAAATTAAAAGTATGATGTGCCAATTATGCAACTAGAAAAGCAAAATGGGTGACTGAACTGTGTTTTAGTAGTGCTGTCGATGTGTGACTGTTGTTCGTGAAATTGTGGAGTATCACTAACCAAAGAGAAATGGATGGTAGTAATCAAGTGTACAGCCCGCCCAATCAGGAGGGACATACCTCAAAATATGAAGTAAATGCCCGAACAAATATCACCGTCGCCGTCGCCGTCGCCGTCGCCGTCGAAGCCCCGTTCTTCTTCTCAAGAGCGCTGACGACTTAGGGTTGGGGAATGTTGGGTTTCTGTTGTTTAATACAGTACGTCAAAATGTAGTAAAAATCTGTCGTCCGCGTAAATCTTCCACATTTGTACTACTATTTAGTAAGCGTTTGGACATAAAAATTGTTAATTTTGTAAAAGTAATATTTTGAGTTAGGTTGAAAAATGGAATTTGAAATTTAAAATTATGTTTGGACATGCATTTCACTTTAATAAATATTGCAGTTTTGTTAGCGGGGAAATAGTTTTTTTGAAAATTTTAAAAGAAGTGGTCATGTTTTCGATTTTTTTTCAAAAACTTGCAAAATTTTATGGACAATACATTTGTGAAATGCCTCTCTATTCCCTCGGGGTAGGGGTAAGGTATACGTACCACACTAGTGAGATTTTACTGCATTGTTATTGTTGTAAACACATTTTTGGAAGAAAAAAATCGAAAAAAAATATATTTTTTAATGGAAAAACAGGTCCTCAATTTATACTTCCATCCAGTTACCAAATATAAAAAATTATACTTCTATCCAAGTAAAAACAACAAATTCAATTCCAAGTAAGTTGGAATTGTCTATATAATTCTTATTGATCACCTTATTCATTTAGAGCCCGTTTGGATTAGCTGATTTGAAGTAGCTGATCAGCATTAGGTGGTGAAAAATACTTTTAAGTGTTGAAATTGATTTAATAAATAAGCACTTATGTGTTTGGATACAAGTGCTGAAATTGAAAATAAGTTATTGCAGTATTTGATAAAAAAAGTACTGATAAGTTTTTTTTTTGTTAAAATGACTTAAATAACCTTAGAACTGTTTACACTTATAAGGATGTAATTTCTTCAAAATTTTAGATTGCAGATCGATTCAAATACAAAATATTTTATTTGTCATTTTATTTTAAATACGACTGTGCTTAGATAAGATTAACTTTTATGATAAATAAAATTTATTTTATGATAACCATATAACCATAAGTTATAATAATTAATAAACTGACAAAAGTTTCTCAGTAAAAAATAAACCTAAATAGGACAAAATATTTGAAGAGAAACAAACACTGTATTCGTCAACACAATGCGTAGAAAGCAATACACTAAAAAATTGATATGTCCTCATTTATTACATACATTTCAAAGATTAATACACAATCACATAGATACAAATATGCAAAGGAATAGAGAATTTGCTTATCTTAAATAGTCAGTGAGAATTGTATACTTGAAGAGGCGCCGGGGGGGTTCTAAAAAAGAATATTTTAAGTATAGAATAGTAAAAATCTTGGTCGGGGGTGGGGGGGGGGGAGGGGAGGGGGTGTTGAAACAATACTTGGGATGTAAGAGTTTTGTTTTAAAAAAGAATATTTTAAGGATAACATAGTAAAAATCTTGGTCAAACTTAAAGTGCTTATAAGCTAAAAATTCATAAGTTAGGGGTGACCAGCTTATGGCTTTTGGCTTATTTTTGACTTATAAACACTTTTATTTTACCAAACGCGTAGATAAGCCAAAAAGTGCTTATAAGCTAGTTTGACTAGCTTACAAACTTAGCCAAACACCCTCTTAAACTCATCTCCTATTAAAATGATGCACGTACAAATGAACATGCTAAAGGTTAAAATATATTCCTATCTAATACTTAAGTAATATGTATTACCTATATATATATATATATATATATATATATGTTTACCCTCGAATCCGGATAACAATTGAATTTATATGGAGTTTTAAGGATCCGTGAACTAAAAGATACAAAAGGTTTTTAGGTCGAGGAAAAATAAAGATAAAGACTCAACAATTGCTGTTAAAGTAAATAATCGCAGAATATAATATTGCTTAGAACAATTGTGCTTGATGCCTACAAGAATTTAGAGAGATCTCCTTTTATACATTCTGATTAAGGGTAAAAATAAGGTAGGTAAATTGATTACATCGTGGATCCCTGTAATTATGCCTTAATGGCCTGAAGTGGTTGAGAAAATCACGTTTGGGCGAGATATCCGGCGACGCTTGGTTATCCGTTACGAGTCCGGCTTCCGACCTTGTGTGTTTCTCCATCCGGTGGTGACTCATATCGAGCTCTGTAACGGTCTCGAAATGACTCGACCTCGGTTGTAGACGTGGCCGTCGTTCTACCTTGCATCCAGATCGGGTTCGATGGCCCCGACTCGCTCCGGACCGGACCCAACCCGGTCGGGCTCAAGCAAAAAAGGGTATCACCCAATACAGATAGTCCCCTCGTTTATTAGAGAGTAATGATAATAAACGATATGACCGGTGACGTGATGCCCGTGACGTATGGCCCTACGCCAGGTGAAAAAGCCATCGAGTGCTCTGACCACGCCTGCTGCAGGCATTTAATGCTTCTCTTAATTATCTGTCGCTTCGTGTCTGTGGCTTCGCGATTCGTGCCACCGCCTCATGGAAAAAGTATAAACGACCCTTCCAGGTTCAATATTTCCTATCTTTCTCAAATTCTGCGTTGGTTGTATTTTCTTTTCATCTCTTCGTAAAGCTTTAAGAAATGGCGAAAACTTCACAAAGTGTTCCTTCTAGACCAAGCTCGGCCGCGA